GGAGGGTAATTTAGATTTTTTTTTAAGTAAATAAAGATTGCATTAGCGATTATTTTCTTTTTAAAGTGAAAGAAGCAAACATTTCTCCGTAAATGAATTTAATTACTAATTTGAAAGAGAGTTGAAGTAAGATACAGTGAGATTTAGTTTCGAAAATCGATTATGTTTAAATTTCAAGTTATATTTGTATTTGAAAAGAAAAAAAAACTTTAGTTAAATAAAAATTAGGAGAGACAGACATTAACTTAAGGTCAACATTAGTCTTGCTGAAAACTTGTTTTACGAATTAAACTATATTTTATTTAAATTAATTTTAGAAAAAATAAAGTTCGCTATAGTTTTTGCTTTCGTAAAACTTAATTTAAAATTATTTACTCTTTAAGTGAATTACAAACAAAAAAACATTTAAGTTTATTTTTTAAAGATAGAAAAAATTATTTTCTATAAGATAGCCAAAAAATATTAATAAAATTAAATTTCTTTTAAATTTACCTTGTTTTAATATTCATTTTTTAAAAAAATTACGCTTTTATTTACTATAGATACGGAAATAAATTCAAGAGAATATAAATTTTAATAATACATATAGCGTCTCGAAATTATCAGCAGAATTAAAATGTAAAAACGAACGAAATAAGAATTATTCCCGTTCGTTTTTGTTTTTAATTCTGAGAATTTCGAATGTATTCCCATGCAATTATTACATATTTTTATTTTTAAAATATCTTCGTAAATACAAGACATACGATGATAATTTTTTTACAATAGATTGGGTGATACTGAGTCTCTCTATATAATTATTTTCTCGTATTTATTGTAGATTCTAGTTTTAGACGGACACAGAGAGAACAATTCCAATTATTATATATATATATATATATATATATATATATATATATATATTAGGAAAATTAATGACAAAAGTAGAAAAAAATTCATGTCTCGTTTTGTTCTTTAGGAAATTATCAGACGAAAATGATGTTTACGCTGATGTACACATGCGTATGAAAGAGGTGTCGCTGGAATTTTAAACTTTTGAATTTTTACGTATTTTCATTAATTTTCTAAACAATGTTCTATTATATAAAAACTTATATATATATATATATCTTAGCTGTAATGAGACGACATATTCTTATAATTTTGTCTATTAATTGTGGAAGATTGATTTGGGATAAAGATGAGCTCACCGCTTAGTCAAGTACTGGCATGCCTCTTCCTAGAATTTTTAGTATATACCCACTCTTCTCAGCGTATCTCCCCCCCCCAAAAAAAACGCATCTTATTTCCGATACATTGACGATGTTCTATACATGCACTCACAAAACCCCCCATTACCAGAAATTGTTGATAGATTAACAGGATAGAATATACAATCGATTTCACATATGAAACAGAATAAAACTGCATTTTACCATAACTATAAAAGTATACACTCTGGGGAGGGGAAGATATAAAAATGCTTGCGTCGCTTACAATTATCTACCCAGAGGAAGCGCTGAGTTGTGAGAACCCTTAAATTTTAAATTTAAATTTCTTTTTTATTCCGACGTGTTTGGAGATGCAGTTAGTATGATCCAGAATGATGATGTTATTTCATTATTCTAAAAATAAACTTGCCATCAGTGAGGATAGAAAATAAGGATATTTCATCATCTTTGAAGAAAAAAAAAAAAATCATCATCCTAAAAACAAACTTGTCACCAGTGATGAAAGATGAGAAAGATAGTTCATCATTCTATAATCTGATTATAAAAACGACCCTTCACCACAAGCGAGAGCTGTAGAGTAGACTAGAGTAGTAAGTGGCAGTAACAGTAGTAAAAATGCCCGACACATAAGTATCCTCATCTCTCCGTGAAAATCGAAAGTTGACAGTCTCAAACACTATCCTTAACAACGTAATTTGGGAACAAACATAAAACAGACTTTTAAAGAAACAAAAGAGAGAATAACACTGAGAACATTTTTAACAGACACCATACCAATATCTGTAATTTACATCACGAAAAAGAAAAATATATATTCTTGTTATTATGCCAACAAGTGTCTCGAGTATTATTCTTTATGTTATTGTTGTACGTTTTTATTCATTTAGTTTCAGTATTTAAAAAAAAGTATTCCTCTATCAACTACTACTACTACAAAAACATCACGCCGGGAAAACTACTACTCAACATTCAACCTCCTTAAACAGTATAGTCGATATCATTCAGTTTCAATTCACTTTTGTTGATTTTCATTACTTTTGTTTTTAAGTATTACAATATTGTCATAACAAGATTTGCCTCAAAAGTGAAGTGTTGTAAGAGCCTGAACGCAAATTTACCGTGTATGATCCAGCAATTCAAGCACTTTCTATACGTTTTTGCTTTAGTAATTTGCTTTCCTTTTTATAATAAAGTAACATCCGTGTGCCTAACATATTACATATATATATATATATATATATATATATATATATATATTCCAGTCGAATCCATTACATTCACTTAGGTGCTAATACCCTTGGGAAAGGTGTGAATCCTCCTCTTCTCCCTCCAGCTATGGGTAAATAGCAGGACAGACTGGGTTCTATAGCCTTGGATGGCAACTGGTCTAGGAGAAGGACAACTCTGAATTCAAAACCTGCTGAGGGTCGTTTGGGGACCTTGTGGCACGTAGTGCACCAGGTCTCTGTATTCGGCTCTTCAAAAAGTGTGGCTGGCCTTGCATGAAACCTTCACCACTATAATCAAATCTCATGTGTTGGTGTTGGGCTGTCGGTTTCCTGGGAACTGATCTGCTTGACCCTCATACGTTGAATTCGACGGGAGAGTCGACTATATATATATATATATATATATATATCATACTTATTATAAAACCCAGGTTGTGTGTGTGTTCACGTTTATATATTGGATCGGATTTCCTACATTTTTCAACCGATTTCAACAAAACTTCCCAGGACTATGTAAAATTACCTTGTGGTGGTTCTGACAGAAATTGGAAAAACACAATTGTTTTTGCACGAAATCAATTTGAAAACACGATTAAGAGGCATCGCGAGAATGAAAAGGGGACAACTCATATCGAGTTATACTTATTATAAAACCCAGAGTGTTTGTGTGTGTGTGTGTGTGTTCGTTTATATATGGGATCAGATTTCCTACATTTTTTCAACCGATTTCAACAAAACTTCACTTTTCTTTGGCAGGTAGTGTTTCTTATTGCCTTGCACACTTTTTTCTTTATTTTTACATTCAGAATGCTTTAAAAATTCCATTTACAAGACAATTATTTAAAATTCTATTCAATCAGTAGACTCATAACGATTGAAAACAATGTTTTTGTTTGAGTTTGACCAATTCGTAAAAAAAAAAAAAAAATAATTAAGACATGCGTGTCCGTCAACCTTAAACAATAATCTTTGTCAATTTTATTTTCAGTCTTTATGATGGTCGATACTTGATCTATCTCTTTGTGTTATATCCCCGGGCAACGCCGGGCTCTACTGCTAGTATATATATATATATATATATATATATATATATATATATATATATAAAAGGAATTAAGAGATTTTTATTCGACATTAATTCCTACAACACTAAAAGTTATTTTGTGGATACCCGTGTTTCAGTAGACGGTATTTTTTTTCTTTTTTTAAACAGCGTGAATTACGTCTACCTGTATGTGCATTCAAGAAACTTAAAGCAAATGTCGAACGTTCGTCATCCTTTCTTGGATCAGACGGTGGTTTTTCCGACAAAGGAAGTCGCATGTTCGAAACTTGTCGGAAAGCACACGTTCTTTATTAAATCTCTCAAATGCGCGGGCCGGTAGTCATAATTCACACTGTGAACAAGGCGTCTACTCAAACATGGCCATCCACAAAATAACATTTGAATTGGTAGTTAATATGTGTGAGTGAGTGAGTGAGTGAGTGAGTGAGTGAGAGAGTGAGAGAGAGAGAGACACACACACACACACACACACACAGAAGGTGTCTAAAAATGTGCTTATTCTTTAAAGGACAATAAATTCAGTGTTTATGGACCTGCAAGATTACATTCAGGAAGAGGTAACTGAAATTTCTGGGATACGTAATGAGATAGGAGGGCTTGGAAAATTTGATACTCACAGGGTGGGTAGAGGAAAAGACACACAAGTGAAAGTAACGACATACTTAACGGGCCTAAGCAAGCGGATGGCAGAACAGGGTCTGGGAGAAATAACAAAAAAACAAAAAAAAAAAAAAACTAATTGAGAGCTACAAGGTACAGGAAGAAGTGGAGATCCATGATCGCCGACGTCCTGAAGGGACACTGCATATATAAGAAGAAGATTAATTGTTAAAATTAAGAACTATTAATGTTTATTGACTTACAAAGGAGATTAACTGCTTAGATATAAAATGAAATTAAATACGTCGGATCTGAAAGAAGTCAAACATTCGAGAATTTATAGGAAGTCAAAAGTGAGTGCTTTTTTTTAAGGTGTCGGGTGGGGGGTGTAGACAACCTGTATATAAGATCTTCCACGTTCTCAAGAAACACAGCAGATCGAGAGACGTACTTATCTTTTTGCTCTTAATTCTCCACCATCTCTTGTTTTCATTCAAAAAGATGACCTTAATCTCACCAACCCCGCCCTTCGAACTCGTCCTCTTGTTATTTTTTTTCTATAAGTCGTACATGAAATCCCTGTGATTGGTTTAGATCTTCCGATTAATTTAAATATGAAAAAAAAAAAGGACTGTCGGAAGGCTGGTCACAAAGAGTATAAACCTCGTCTCACTGGCGAATTAGTTTGTGACTGATAATGAAACTATCTGAGCAGTGACTGAGTTTTGAGGTTGTCAGTCCTTGAGAGAGTGAAAGAAAAAAAAAGAAGAAAAAAAAAGAAGAAAAAAAAAGAAGAAAAAAAAAGAAGAAAAAAAACACGCAGCTTCTTGTTTATGTTTTGGCTGTGAACATACATTGATTCATCTTCCTATTGGGGAAGAATAACTTTGGGAA